GTAGGATGGTTCATGAAACATTCGAGAAGATGGACTTAATAACATTGCTGCTTCTTTTTCTCCATTTAAATTACTAGTATTTGATATTATTCGAAGAGGTTTCACACTCATTTTTCTTTTACCCTCCATTATAGTGATGATATCTCAATGTATAGGTTGCTGATTAGAGTCTACCGTATTTATAGCTCCATTATGTGCCCACAAGGATTTTTCTCTTTGACTAGATATATTTATTCAGTAAATGAACGCTCTCATTAAAACCACAGCTACCTGCCTTGAGAATTTAGTTTTAGATGTACATAATTTGGATTAGTTAACATTTTGAAATAGCAAATCAAAATAATTGTGAGGCTATTAGGAGTCGAAAATCCACAACCTCAAAGAAGTTTTCTAACGTCTTAGCCACTTAATTAAATCTTTAACTCTTATATATAAAATTTATATAATTTTCTGACAAAGGACACCCCTCCGCTTAGAGTGAGTTTGCCCCCCAAGTATTTACTATTTTCTAGTGTTTGATTGGTCGAAAAAATGAAAAATATTAATTTTAGCAAAACAAAAAAAAGACTTTTCTAATAAATGTAGAGAAAATAAGTGCATTGTTTTCTGCCCACCCCAACCCCATTTAGTGGTAGTCAGTCTGATAGAGATAAGATTTTCGACTAGGGGCAAAATATATATATATATATATATATATATACGCGAAGGAGTGTTGATCGACATTACACGAAGGAGTGTTGATCGACATTACAAGTATATAAGGCTCCGCCACTGTCCCCAACCCCACTCACCACGCAAACCACCAACTCAATCCACTAAAATGAGATCAGTTTCAAATATATACAATAAAGTAATTAAGAAGTATATACTATACAATATAGCTTGTCAAAAATCATAATAACTACAGTGACTATACAATATAGTTTAGCTATACATAAATTAAGTACTAACTATACATTATATATGATACATTAACTATACGCCATGAATTTATGATACACTCAAAAAATATATACGGACTGAACACAAAGTGCACTGGACAAACTCAAAAGCACCTCCAATTAGTTCCAATTGCACTGGACAAACTCAAAAGCACCTCCAATTAGTTCCAATTTTAAATATGAAATCCTTTTGATATTTTGAATTTTTTAATATATAATCTGTTTGAAATAATTCACATTTAAGTCAAGTCGATTTTATTAGAAAAAAAAGGAAAAAAAGAAAAGATGAAGAAAGCAAGAAGGAAGAAGAAATGCAGATCGCCATTTTTTTAAAAAGAAAATAGAGCTAAGAGGCTATTTTGAGTAAATTAGATAAATTTGTCTAAATATAGTAAATAAATCTAATGAGCTGATATTTTGTCTAATCTATGCGCTAAAATAGATAATGAAATCACATGAAAAAAATATTTTTGAGTAAAAGGTCATAATGATAATCATCATCATTTAAAAATTAATCTTTTTTGTTAGCATTAATATTGAGTTGAGGTTTATTTGAGTTAATTACATGCACCTATGAGCTATAAAACTTTTTGAGCAAGCCAAAATTGTTAGGCCAAACTTGAAATAATATACGAATTAAAATAAAAAATTATGAAAGTTTTTTTTTATAGAAATACTTATAAAAAACTATATAAATATAATGTCAAATTAATTTAGTTCAATTTTTCGTTAGTTAAAATCAAACCACCTCTTCAAACATCAAAACCACACAAATCAATTTATTTTCTTGATTTGTTTTGAATTATCAATTTGATGCGATTTGTGGATTTTTTTAGATATACCCTGATATTGGGGAAGTTAATGATTTTAATGGGACCTTATACATATGATACAGAAGGTAGAGAAATGTCAAAATTGGAAAAATAGTGGTAGGTGTCAATTGAGCTATTCATTGTATGAATTTAATAATTGTTGAAAACATTTTGCACGTGTCATGTAAAGAAATATTCTTAATTAAATCCTCTGAATTTTGTAGCACAAATGAAATTAAATAAATGAGTTTTCCGGTTATTCGGAGTGGATATAAAAAATTTTATTTGGATTTTTTAATTTTTGAATTGAAGGAATTGCAATTCAAATAAGTTCGAATTTAATTGGATTTTAAGTTTGATTTTAGATTAATCAATATAGATATATCAAATTTTTTATTTTTATTTTAGAGTTTTTACGGTAGGTCATAACAATTAACAAGTTCAATTCACCTAATAGTTTGCTTCTTTAAATATGTAGTTTTCTATCATATCGACCATCTTAACATTTATGATGTATAATTTTTTATTGAATTTAATTGTGATGGATGGACAGACCGAAAGATAATAATCTATTGAAAAACGTAATATAACAAATAAAAGTGAAAGAATGAAGTGTTATAAAATCTATTATGTCATGCATATATGTATTTAGATTATGAACTTTTATGGATTCAAACTAAATTTCAAAAAAGCAGCTTATACGATAGTGAATTAACGCCAAATTGATACAATTATGCTCAATTTTGTATGTTCAAATTCTATATTTTATTTTTAGAACATAAGTTGCAAAATAAGAGATAACCATCCAAGCTTTTATTATATTGTGGAATAAAATAGTAGTTCAACTGTTGTTTATAGCTTTGGTTAGTAAATTAATCTAGTTCATTGAATATATAAGTAGACATGTATAGTAAATTTAAAGGCCTCCAAATAACTTAATTTTCTCTCATGAACTATTTGAGTCAATGAATTAGTTCGATTCAAAACTTGAGATAATGAGGGTAAATCGAAAAAGGATTCATAAGTAGTTGTTAATGGAGGTGAGGTTACCAAATTCTGAGGTGTCGGTATCAATTTATGCCGAATTGCTCCACATATAGTCCCCCGAACCACATTTTCTAAACGAATCAGAGCCAATCCGAATTGATCTTGTAAAAGATCTGCTACAGAAAATATAGTACTGTACCATCTTTGTCTCACTTTTAATTTTCAATTTTTATTATATATTTTTTCATCATATTAATATATAAAAAGTTATAATTTATAATACTTTTTATATACCTTTTGAATATCTATTTTTTTTGTTTAAATTATCAAATTAATATAATTTTATTTAACTTTGAAAATTGGTCAAATTGATTTAAAAAAAATGCAACATAACCAAATAAATGTGAACGAGAGAATAATAATTTTGATTAACATTTTATGATATATTTTTTATCATATTAATATCTGAAAAAAATTAAAATTATCTTTTATATATCTAAATTTTTTTATTTAAAATAATAAATTAATATAATTTAATTTAACTGTAAAATTAGTCAAATTAATTTTCAAAAAAGTAAAACATAGTAATTGAAAATGACCTATCAAAAAGTTGGTAGTTGGTGCAATTTAATCTATGTGGTGGTAAGGTTCATATCAACCTCCTTCCACTTCAAGGCGGCTTTTAAAAAGATAAATTAGAAAAACATAAACAAAAAACGTGCAGTAAATAGTAAGTATACAGAAATTGTATCAAATTAAGTGAAACGATATTTTGCATTAATTATGCAGATTAGGTATACCACATAAACAAGATATGTCACGTCTCCTATTAATGTAGATTAGCTCCTAAATTTTAAATGGTTTTCTTTCAAATAAACATTAAAGTGAAGCTAAAAGACTAGTAAAAGTAATTACAAACACCTTTAATTTGTGCAAGTTTGTGATGAGAGGCATCCAATTTGCTTGCATTATCTGCTAGAAAATTCAAAATTGATTTAGGTACGTAAATAAATACATATTTGCTTCGTCTCAATTTATGTGATATAGTTTGACTTGATAGCTGGTAGAAAGTTTAAATAGAGAAGAACTTTTGAAACATGTTCTCTAAACTAAGTTATAGATATTTGTCTGACTATAAATTATTTCGTTAAAGATAAAAATAGATATATTAACATTAAATTATTACTTATTGTAGAAGTATGTCATTATTTGGAGACTAAATAAAAAAAATAAGTTATATAAATTTGAAAGAAAAAAAAGGTTAAATTTATCTTTTATGTATAATATAATTATTTGTCAGAAATATAAGATTCAAGTGAGTTCCCTTGAACCCCTAGATCCGCCCTCACATATTCAGCCAATTTTTTTTTTTTTGAAATTTAAAATGTTCTTTCCTAACAAAATATTTATAATATAGACTTAAGAGTACTTACCTAATATTTTAGGGAAAAGTAAATGATTTCGAGTGTAGTAGGCGAACTCAGAAGTAATTTTATTCTAGAACATAGCCAAAGTTTAATTTTTTCACTTTTTTTGGTATTTTGTGTTTAAAATAGTAAATCAGAAAATTGAAATAGATTAAAAAATGAAAAAGTAAATGATTTAATAAAAAAATTTGAGTTCATTAAATTTACTGTAGGTCCTTAATCATTTTTTTCTCATTGGGTTTGAATTTTCGAATTACTTTTTCCCCGATAAAGTGGATATGTATGTTGTTGTGGCAGTACCTCAAATGTCAACGATTTTTAGTTTACTTATTATTATTATTACTTATTAGGTTTTCAAATCTTCAAAATCCCTCATTTTCCTCTTAAGTCAAAAATCGCTGATACAAAAATTGCACTAAAAATCAGATTTCATTAATGTATCTTGTATAACAAAATACATCAAATTAGTGCATCATATATAAAATGTTGACCATTAATGTATCAAATTAGTATATCATCTATTTTTCGTTTATGTGACTTTTAATTAATAATGTATTCAAACCTCTTGGTTATATTATTGTATCCGTTTTTTTAAATTTTTGTGGGATTATTATAATTATAAACTTATAAGGAAGAGATTGTAATTTTGCCTTAAAAGTACTTGATTCTTTAATTTGCCTACTTATTTTAGTTGAAAACACAAATACTTTTATTTTATTTATTCAAACATTCTAAAAGTCTTTTAAGAGTTATTTTAACTTTAAAATACGTTAAATAAATCAATTCAAACATTCTAACTTAAATGTCTGGAGTTGTTTTTAATTTTCAGGAAGTGATGTTATTATTGACCATAAAATTGGTAGAAACACAAGCATAATAATTCTACATTTCTACTTCATTAAAATGTAAAGACAATGTATACTATAAGTAAAATTTTTTAGCAAATAATTAGATATCATAAGTGTACTCGTCAAAGTGTAATGAGCTAATGAAGTTTGGTTCTAAATTTTGAACGAGCAGCCTCGTTGATGCTTAAAAATGAATCGACAAAATCATCGCCAAGCTGGTTAGGATCTGAAATCATTCCTTCATCAACTGTTATCGCAAATGTTAACTTCTTCGCATAGCTACACGCATGAACCATTAGCCCCTACAATATAATATAGTAATTAAATTTCGACCTAAGTAGTTTATATTTCTTTCAAAAAAATTTAAACCGTATGAAAATAGTGTTGGATTTTATTTGCCCTAAATTTCTTACCATAAATAGGTTTTCCTTTTAGGAAAAGTTTTGGATTGACTAATCCTTTTTCTGGTAGGAAAAGTTTTTTGCACTCTATAAATAAAAGAATGTTCTTTCTAACTTAATCAGTATGCATAATGTAGTCTTAATGACTTTGAGAGTTTTGGTTAGGGGGAGAATTTTTGGGTCACAAGCTTGATACAATATCATTTGTGTGAACCTCCCATGTATTCTGAGTGAATTGGTTGAGGTTGTTTCTCTCTGTATTTTGTACACTCATATTTATAGTGGATTGCTCATCTCCTTTGTGGACGTAGGTCGATTGACCGAACCATATTAAATCTTTGTGTCTTTTGATATATTTTTCATTGTCTTCTTACTCGTGGTCTTTCGAGGTTTGTTTTGCTAAATTCTGCATTTACACCTGCTTATTTCGATCCCAACAAATAGTACTTTTACTTTGTTGATGGAAGAAACTTACAGTGGGCTGTCCATAGCATGTAGGGGCAAGGAATGCCAATGGATGGCCTGACCAAGAAACTTCTTCAATTGGACCAGCTACGTTTGAAAAGGATAGTGTTGTTTGAGATGGAACTCTTTTAGCAAGTTTTGCTGCACCCTAGGTGTCATGCCGATGCAAATTTAAACATAACAAAAAGATATGTTACATTTCTATTTGATCCAATGACAGGTAAGGTGTAAAGAGGGGGGAAATAAAATCTGGAATACCCTAAAGCCAAACAAGTTAAGGAAAAGCTGCAAAATGTAAAAGGTGCATTGAGCCTCAAGAGAACGCTTTTTCCGATCCATTGATATCTTAGCTTTGTGAACATAATCAAGAGGATTTTGTAATTGAGCTATATCTAAAGGAATTAGCACAAACCCAAAGCAATTTCCTTGTATTACTATCGCATTCTTCTCAATCATTTCTGCTAGGCCTGCCAATTCATCATAATTAATTGCGCCATTAGACCGTACACATATAGCAGCACATGATGAAGAAATTATACTTACTTGAACTCCCAAAGCTGGTCTCAGATTCACTAGAACAGTGGCTCTGCATCTCATTTGTTCTTTCATCTTGCCTTCAACATCTACTTAACAACAAGTAAATAATTCCCAAAATTGAATTTTAGTCTCCCCATTAATATAGACAAAAAAAATAATTTAATTACCGTATTTTCGGTGGATATAACGAGACAAAGCCGCTTGTGTGATTCCCAAAATAACATCGTTAATAGTCTAAAGATGAAGCTTGTGTTATTAGATACAAGTAATAATTAAAGGCCAAAATAGTGATAATGTATACTTACTGCGTTTGTGGCATTTTTTATAAATAAATTTAATATCGTCCAAACTAAGAGTCCGATAAACAAATCTCTGGCGAGTAGAGTGCTTGTTGTTAAATCCTTTTGCAACTGTAAAAGGTGATTGGGAATCCTTCAAGAATAGAGCAGTCGCGCCAAAAAGCAAAACATCAACAACTGTATTGAACAAAAGCCTGATGAACAGCCACAACTTTACCATGTACTGCCATAGCAAGGACCTAATATTTGTTCTATTACTGCTATTTGATTTCTTCTCCTTCGAATAAGAAACTGGAAGTGTAGGCAAAGAAGTAGGATCCGATGGTTTTCTAGAACAAGAGAGTAAGAGGGACATAAGGGCAATTCCATCTCCAAGAGAATGGTGAAAACGGAAAACAGAAGTTGCCTCAGCATGGGATGTTTTCACGTTAAGTATGTGATAATCCCATAGAGGTTTCGATATGTCAATATTTGTCGTGCTTAGGTTTGATATATACTGTTCGACCAACTTATCTGTGTCCATATTATTAGTAACATCCAGCTGGGGTACTATGACATGATCATCTACATTCACTATTGTCGGAATCCATCTCATTTCTCCACTCTCATCCATAACCTGTACGCAATATATTTGCAATAAGCTATACTAAATTTTTAGTAAAATGGACAAGTAAAAATAAAACGAACTGGAATAGTAAATTACCTGCAAACTGGAGAAGCGCGGGTGTTTAAGCAACTTGCTTAGTAATTGGGCTTTGAGGGAGTCAATGTCAAGTGGTATTTTCCAACCCATGATTGCTACAATATGAATATTGAAATTAGGTTCATGGAACATTCGAGAACCTGGACTCAATAATACTGCTTCTTCTTCTTCATCATCGTCATCAAATTTCTTTGATGTTCGTATAGGCTTGAGAACCATTTTCTTTCCACCACACTCCATATTAATGGAACTATACAATTTAGCCTATACCGCTCAAAATATTTAAAGAAGTAAGGAAGCTTACCTTAGCTTTAATTGGGTGGACAAAGAGTAGTTACTTTTCAACTGTAAACTAAAGAGAAGCTTTTATTAAATCCATAAATTATTGGCACAACTGCTTGATAATGATCGATCCAAATAATTCCTTGAATTGAAGTCATGATTGAGTATGGTGCTTGTCAACCTGATAAACTTAATTAAGAAATGATATTACGTGGCCTTACTATCCGCTATAATTTTAGCATGATGATATGTGTTTTATTACGCAAACTTAAATAAAATAAGTACTATATCTTAAATGCTAGGGACTAGAACAATCAAGTGACAGTCTCACTCATAGAAGTCTATTTTGAAACATCTATTTTGAGAATTCCCGGAAAAAGGTAGCAATCCTGGGTAGAGAAAAGCGATAGGTGACGTGCCGAATTTTAAGTTCACAAATTTTGAATTAAAAGAAAAATAGCTTGAACTTTATTAAATCAATTTTAATATATAAAAACAATGTTTAAGCTAAAGTTATTAGAATAAGTGGATCACTTGTAAATCTATACTAATTAGTGTTACCATTGGGATTCAATGCAAATAGCGGAATCAGGATGTGAATTTGTTCCCTACATATTAAATTCTCTGAAAACATACATGGTAAAATGAAATAATGATTTAGCACGAAGCATTTAAAGGTCTGCATGTTGATTGATGTTATTATTTTGAAGTTCAATGGCTAGCCTTGTACCATTTGTTAGTATCTAAAAGAGAAATAGTTGAGACAGTTGGGAAAAAGTGTTAAGTCACTTTTTTTTTTCTGAGAAGAGACAAAAGGTTCCAAACGAACAAATGCATACCAATTTATTGCAAATTAAGTGACTCAATAAGATGGGAGATCTTTGTATAGTTTCTCTTTTTCGCTACAATCTTATCTTTACACTAACCAAATTAAATTATAAAAAGTTAGATAGGGGAGTCGCGATCTAATAATAGGAACACAGTATATATATATATATATATATATATATATATATATATATATATATATATATATATATTGATTAAATCGCTATTATTATTATTATATAAAAATAGCTACTAATTAATAAATAAGAATATAAAAAAAATATGAGATTTGGAAATAATAAATAAGAATATAAAAAAAATGAGATTTGAAAAAAAATAATTAATATGTATCAAATTTTTGGACATAATAAAATCAAACTTTATTTCACTTCAAAAAAATTAATATTATAGAAAAGAAAAGAAAGCTTTCGTTTTTCTCCATATAGAAAAGAAAGCTCAAAAGTCTCAAACTTGAGAAGACAAATGAAAGATATGTTATAAATAAATCTAAGTTACATGTCATAGAAATGAATCGTTTCTTTTAATGTCGTTAATAACATCATTGCGTATGAAAAGATCAAGCTTCAATTCGTGGAATTCAATACATTTAAATGCTAATTAATTATGAAGTGTGATATTTATAATATTTTCTTTTATTGTTCTGACTCTAACGATTTTATTCACACACAAACATCTCTGAAATTCTTTTAATTAAAATTTAAAATATGTAGATTTTCGGAAGGTAAATCTAGTTGGTCAAAACGAGGATATATATATTCCCCCATAAATACGTGGGATTAAGTATTAAGCCCCGGTTAATCCTCGTTAACCACAAATTTCCAAGACTTTAAACTCACACAAGTAACATAATCGTCCTTAAATATCTCTCTGGTACTAATTGATAACTACCTTTGAAAAAAAATATCACAAAATTACGTTTACAAGGAAGAGAATAGAGAGATTCAGGAGGTGATCATTAAGCAAGGCAGCCTGCAACGATTTCGATTAGTTAGCTTCTTAATTACAATTTTGTGTTTGTTTGCTCATTGAAAACGCTAATTAATAATACTTAGAATGGCATGGTCCCCAAAATATGCTGCCAATGCATATCTTGACACCCTCAAATTGGTAAGTCTCCTATTTAATTAATTACATCTCTTCCTTTTCGTTCTGTTTTGAGCATCCCTTGGGTTGCGACTCTTCACAGACTCTGGTAATGTGTGTTTGTTTTGTGCACCGCGCTACCCTGTTCGTATAAATTCTCGAACAAAACCCTGTCAAAAGTTTCATCCTCTATTGAAAAAGCATTGATTTCCATCTGATATTTAACATTTTCCTCTTACAATATTTACCATGGAAAAGGGTCAAAACTATATTTCAACCCTTCAATTATTTTTGGACTCTAAATTACCCCTTGAATGACTTCTAGCCTTCCTTTTAACGGAATAAGATGTGGCAATATTCAAATACATTTTTGAATACCAACTTCAGACATAAGTGATTTGTGTTTATTGGAATAATTTGCAGTGTAGCAAACACAAACAAATGTGCAGTTCATGTACGGGAACCCAAGAACCCGAGAGCAATGAATTCCTATCAGCATTAGCAGCTGGAATGAAAGCGAAGTTGATAGTGGAAGTCACAACCGAAGGGTCCCCCTCCACCGTAGCCTTAGCAGCGGCAGCTCGTCAAACAGGGGGCAAATTAGTCTGCATTATTCCGGAAACGATACTTGACAAAACCCAAAAAGTAATTGAAGAAACAGGGCTAAATGACATGGTAGAATTCAAAACAGGGGACCCTGTGGAAATCTTACACAATTACGAAAACATTGATTTCTCATTAGTAGATGGCAATACAGATGATTATGAAATGTTGATGGAGAAACTTGACGTGAATCCAAGAAGATCAGTGGTCGTTACGAATAATGTACAAGGGAAGAAAGGGATAGGAGGACATTTAAAGAAAGTGGAGAATACGGTAAAGGTAAGATCACTACAACATCCAATTGGTAAAGGATTAGAAGTTACAATGATTGGTAAAAGCACAGAGTTTGGTAAAAAGGAAAATAAGAGCAAATCAGGATGTTATTCCCATTTAATTAGAGGGGGTGACAAAAAAAATGGACATGTAGTGAAAAAGGGTGATAAGAGCAAATGGGTTTTTGTTGTGGATGAAAAAAGTGGGGAAGAACATATTTATAGGATGCCAAAATCATATACACCTTGATAAAAAGGAGAGATTTTCCAACTGAACTGAAGAAAAATGTGAAGGCACTTGTAAAATGAGGTTTTTTTTTTTTTAATGTTATACCCTTTGTTCTAATTTCTATTTCCATCCCTTTTTAATGGAGATTGTTGGGTGTATTTAGGAGAGGATATAGTGAATTTACATTGTGAATGCTCTCTTGTTGATTTTTTAGAGTTATTATTAATGTACATTCTTATATTATCTAAGTGAGTAAAAAATATTCTTATACTAGTAAAAAAATAACAAGAATCATTCTTTAGTCTATTTTTGTTAAGAAACTAATTGAACAAATAATAAAATATATTTTTAAACTTAGTCATGTCTTAGCTACATTAAGAAGATCAATCTTACTCAAAAAGAATAAGAATATGAATAAAAATGAATATGTTATTCTCATAATTTAAATGTTTATATATTATTTTTGCAAGTAAATTGATTTGCAAAAATATATAAAGTTTTGAAATACTTATACAGTGGATCCAATGGTTTGAAAGATTATGCAAAAAAAAAAATCATTATAAAAATATTATGTGCAACTATTTAGAATTCTCTTTAATAATAAAAAAAATATAGTACGTATATATTATATAGACAATGCAATTCACATTTTATACAATATATAAAAATAATGATAATTTCATGAAATTATGTAAGCGCTTTGTTGTGAAATTAAATAATAATTACTTTATTTGAAATTTTTGAAATGGAGTTGTATTTGGATAATTTTTTTACAAAGAATATTTAGAATTTGAATATATTTTGTCTGAATATTTTAATTCTCAATTACTAAAAATAAAAAAATAACCCAACTTGACTAGCTTAATCGTGTGTACATATATTCATTTGACTTGACACATTTTTTGTTGATGGCTTGAATTTCTTAAAAAAATATACGGAATGATGAATCTTGTAACTTTTTGAATAGTACAAGGATATTTTTTGTTCACTTTTATAATACAATAATATATTTTAGATTTAGATCATAGTTAAAAATGAATTCAGCCAAAAAAACTCTACTTTGTTATATCTATTTCAAATACAAAATTCAGGATTTCAACTCATGGCATATCATTGTATTGATTATCCTACTTAGAAAAACACATATAGACTAAATATAATAAGCATTTAAACTAGTATATATTGTTCTACACTTCTTTTTACATCAACCTCATGATAAGAGGACTTAATTTGGAGTTACAATGATCTTTGTTCGAAAGTCTTACAATTATTATTTTCGTGTCTTTTAAATAGTTTGAGTTATCAATTACTAAAAATATATTATTTTTTAATAAAAAAAATTAAATATGTAATTTGACTCACGAAATTTGAACTTACTGAAATAAGAGGACACGAACATCTTTTAAAATAATTTAGTGATAGCATATCCATCAAATCAATATTCGTATGTACACCATGTGGAGTAAAACTAGACCAAATTCATAGAAACATAAATTTAATTTTAAATTGTCGTGTATCCATATAAATTAAATGTTGAGAAAAGTTTTTTTTTCTTCAAAATACTCGATCTCAAATCTTTCTTTATTGGAAAAATTACATAAACAAAGACCTTTTATTTTATAATTACCAATTTTAAGTACACTTTTTATTTATTACCATTTTTGTCAACTTTTAGTTATATTAACTTAAAACAATTTAAAACCCATTTATTCCTTTTTTATACAAATTTTAAACAAAGTAAAACATATTATCGTTCATATCCTTTCTCGCTCTTTTTTTTTCTTTCTCCTTCTCCTCGTCAAAAATTAGGGTTTCTGTTTATTTTTTTTCTCCATTTTTCTGTACGAATCTTAATGGAAGAAGGTCTTAGAAGAAGTCCGCGTCTAGTGACGGCTTCGAATCCAAAAGTTTATCGAAGAAATCGAAAGAAGCTTCAAGTTTCGTCTTCTAATTCTACGGATGAAATTCCAAGTTTTAGTTTGGGTATATCACAAATTTCGGGAGATAAGAACAATGAGGAGAAGAACAATGAGGAGAAAAAGAAAGGTAAAAAACGAGTTAAAGAGGTTAAAACAATGAAGAGATCAAAAAAAATATGTGTTACTTTGGCATCTACATCGAAGAAAATCGTTGACAGTGATGATGATTTTGAGGATTTACCTCCTCAATTTCAGTCAAAAAGTTTGAAAAATAAAGATGGATTGGAGAAGAAAAGGCTGGTGAATGATGGAAAAACACGAAATCGTTTACCCAAAAGTGTCATTCTACCAGAGAGTAGATATCCGGTATGTGCTACTACTTCTTAGTTATTTGTTGTTTAGCAATGGGTTGTATGTTGATTGCTGCTTGTTTTTAGATGTAGTATGTGAAATTATCTTTAATTCAACTTTCATTAACTTTAATTCATTTTTAATTCAACTTTAGTTCAACTTTAGTTGAACTTTAATTCAACTTTAATTCAACTTTACAACTTTAATTCATCTTTAGTATGTAGTAACTCATTTTTAATTCATGTTTAATGCATATGCAGGATCGTAAATTCTGGAAACATCCTGATGTTGTGTATATTTCGAGTAGGTGGTCATGTTACACTAATCATAGTGTCATTGAACAAATCAAACTATCTTTATCTGATAAACAACTTGAGATGTTTAGGTATACATGTTTTGGGTACTTTCTTGACCTTCCAAAATCAAGCACACAACTACAACTTATTCATTGTCTTATAAATAGACAGTTAAAACACACACTGGATGATGTGTTTGCTATTGAAATAAATAACAAAAAGTTATTTTTTGGTCTTAGAGAATTTGGGATAGTTACAGGCTTAAATTGTGTTGGTGATTGGCACATCTATCAATGTTCCCAATTCTAGATGTAGTTTGATGAGTAGTTATTTTCCGGAAAAATCACAGTTCCAAAGAGTCATCTACGTGCACTGTTTTTAGCTAAAAAATTCATAGATGATGACTCGGCTGTTTCATTGGCTGTTCTATACTTCATTAATGATTCTTTATTTTCATATGAGGACAACGAATACCAAATTAGCAATAGAGATTTTTACCTTGTGGAAAGTGGAAAATTCAATTCATATCCGTGGGGTTTAGATGTCTACAAAAAGTTGTCTGATTCTGTGAGGCATGAGCTTAAGTCAACACATAAGTACTATAGAATTGGTGGTTTGCCTCTTGCTCTTCAAATTTGGATATTTGAGTGTTGTTCAAAGGTTGATGAAGATATAGCTATTCGTGTTGCTGATTCTATTCCAAGAATCTTGAATTGGAAGACAATTGCAGAAAGTCCATGGTTAAAATATATTGAGAAATGTCTCTTCATGCCTACAAAAAACAAGGTATTTGTACAAAGTTAATACATTTCATTACATTGTTTATTTGAACTCAAGTTACTATATCTAATGTTATTTTGTGTATTTGGTTTTTCAGTTTGAGAACATAGTGGCCAGTGAAGATGAAGTATCCAAATTCAGGCTTCCTGAAACTCGTGATTACCATGCTGAAATTTTGAAATTGGAGCCTAAAGGATCAAGTCATGGTCTAGACATTTTGACCAATGAAGTCATAGAATTGAGAAAAGAGCTTGTAAAAGTATACACAAACTAAACTTTAGGCTTTTTATTTTAAAACTGTTATTTTTTAATATTTTCGTTATGATTTAATATCTATTAGGTGAATGAAAGTAACAAAGCGCTTGAAGAGAAGATTGATTTAGGATTCAATCAAATCAAAGAATTTGTGGTGAACTCAAACAAACAATTATTGGAGGATATTTCTTTGCTGTTTGCTAAGAGTGGTGGTAGCAGCTCTGTTATTCGAGAGGTTAAGGAACCATCTAAGAAGCATGCTGGCGAGACATTTTCAGGTGGATTAGATTTTAATGGAGGTTCGTTTATATTTTCAGTAAATTTCTGTTATATTCATAATATAATTTTAATATATAGTTTAGTATTTTCTTCCAGTTAATCTATAAATGACACGAATTCGATATTTCATTTTTCAGTTAACTTTGATATGTTTTTTTTATAATATGTTAATTACATATACAACATTTTCTCCCCGTGTTAATGCATCTGTAAATGAATCGAGAGAGAACGATGCTCATGTTATGGGATCAAATCAAAATGAAGAATCTCAAGTGCTTAAAGCTACAGTTAGATTTGCTGATGTTGAAAATCTTGAAAGAGTATCAAGTAAAATAGGTAATGAAGGATTTTATTACAAATATATTACATATTTATTATTATACTAGCCTTTCCGATAATGAATTATGTAGCAACAAACAAGTGTGTTCGCTTTCAAATTCTCTAATGTTGAACATTTCAGATTTGTTCAAGCTTGAAGCTCGTAAACTCCAACTGCAGCTTTCTCCTAGGCACTGTATTGAATAGCTGTAGAAAAAATATTAATACACAATTAATAATTTAAAGTGACTTGAATTTAGGTCTTACCTTATTGCGCTTGATCTTGTTGTCTTGAATTGAAACTGATTAAGAATGGAATGTCTTTTTAGTGCACTAGTGAGGACATATTTATTCTTATACACCTGATCTTTTTCAAATAAAGAGTGATTGGGATTAATAATGATTCCTGATGCTAATTCTTCTAGCTCATCAACTTCCTCACATGATCCGAATCCAATTAACCCTATTGCTTCATCAATACCATTAAATGTATTAGAGAAGTATGAATTGTGTATAACCCTCATATCTCCTGAAGTGTCTGAACACACAAAAGTGGAATGAGTGCAACATTAGTCTCCAAGTTGACTGGTTCAGTTGTTGTGACACATAAAGGGTATCTTGTCATATCTCGATGTTCCTTTTTAGTTTCAAGATATACCTTTACCCCCATATCATTATGAATTTGAATTGGAGGAGACCTTTCATCAATTTTATATCTGATTTCAACTTTATTTGTTGATGTGTCTATTGACAATTGAGTAGCAATTACAGAAACGAGGGTGGCAAACGTTGACTCTGTGTGTATCAACACATCATCTGCCAAGTAGTTAATATATTTGTTGCTTAGGATCCCATCGTCCATTGAAATAAAGCATCACCGCTATATTAGTCATATTTTTTCTGCACATCATTAAAGAGTGTATTACTATTATTAAAAGACTAGAGAGAGACATATAGATTAATCTGCTAGAAGAGCATCACTTTGCTAACAACTGAATTAAATCTTAATAAAATCTAAATTAAAAATTTATCACACAGATGCTAACAAGTGAATTAAAACTGAATTGAAGTTGAATTACACATATGCTAACAAGTGAATTAAACTGAATTAAAGTTGTATTACACAGATGCTAACAAGTGAATTAAAACTGAATTGAAGTTGAATTACACATATGCTAACAAGTGAATTAAACTTGAATTAAAGTTGTATTACACAGATGTTAACAAGTGAATTAAATCAGAATTAAAGTTGTATTACACGGATGCTAACAAGTGAACTAAAACTGAATTGAAGTTGTATTATACAAATGCTAACAAGTGAATTAAACATAAAATTAAATGTGTATTACACAAATGCTAACAAGTGAATTAAACATGAATTAAAATTGTATTACACAATGCTAACAAGTGAACTAAAACTGAATTGAAGTTGTATTACGCAGATGCTAACAAGTGAACTAAACCTGAATTAAAGTTGTATTACACGAATGCTAACAAGTGAACTAAAATTGAATTGAAGTTGTATTACACAAATGCTAACAAGTGAATTAAACATGAATTAAAGCTGTATTACAAATGCTAACAAGTGAATTAAACTTGAATTAAAATTGTATTAGACAGATGCTAACAAGTGAACTAAAACTGAATTGAAGTTGAATTACACATATGTTAACAAGTGAATTAAACCTGAATTAAAGTTGTATTACACAGATGCTAACAAGTGAACTAAAACTGAATTGAAGTTGTATTACACAGATGCTAACAAGTGAATTAAACTTGAATTAAAGTTGTATTACACAGATGTTAACAAGTGAATTAAACCGAAATTAAAGTTGTGTTACACGGATGCTAACAAGTGAATTAAACATGAATTAAAGCTGTATTACACAGATGTTAACAAGTGAATTAAACTTGAATTAAAATTGTAGTACACAGATGCTAACAAGTGAATTAAAACTGAATTGAAGTATTACACAAATGCTAAAAAGTGAATTAAACCTGAATTAAAGTTGTATTACACAGATGCTAACAAGTAAAATAAAACTGAATTGAAGTTGTATTACACAAATGCTAAAAAGTGAATTAAACATGAATATACAGATGCTAACAAGAGATCATACTTATTAGAGAAGAGAACTGAATACCAGACACTCACAGGAACTTGAATCAAACAAAATCTCAACATAAATCATCAAACAAAAAGGCACACAAGTAACGTAAACATAAATCAAACGAAATCTCAATATAAATCCACACAAAAAGAAGAAAGGCGTAACGATCTGGGCACTGTCAAGACCACAATTGCAAGCTCACATTAAAGGATCAGTTAAGTGCAAAGGAGACCAACAAAAATCGCAGAATGTAGTGCAAGTAACCTAAACTAACAGATCTTACTCAACACTAACCTTTAAATTGCAATGGCGAGAGAAAATTGAAGTCGCCGGAAAAAAATTGCAATCACGAGAGAGAGAAAAAATTGCAGTCGCGAGAGAGAAGAAAAAATTGCAATTGCGGGCGTGGGAAAATTTTGAGGCGAGAAAAAAAATATGAAGTTGAATATTCAATTAAATTGACATTTATGATTAAAAAAATAATACTGACAAATATGGTAATTATTTTTTAAAAAGTAGACACAAGTTATTTTCCCTTTCTTTATTTTTGGCTTATTGGGCTTAGTTGTGGACAAAAGCCAACACTATAATAAGGTAATTCTATCAAGATTTGAATCTTGTTTGAAGGAGTCTTTTAAGTAATATTTTGAGTCACAAATTTAAACTCTTCTTTTTCAAATAAGATTCATGTTAAACACAAACATTTACCTCTCAAATGCATTTCTTTTCACTTCAACCTGTACTCCTTTTTTCCAACATCAACCAATAATTTCTTATGTTTTTATTTTCTTTTTCTATGAATTAAGTTAATTGCCATAAAAATAAATTAAAATTCGAAAAATAATTACAATCGATGCACTTTCAGTGTTTTTATCCCTTTTTTTTTTAATTAACATAGAGTATGTACACGTGACATTAGGTTCAAATTATGACCTCCTAATTGACTTATCCCATCCCTAAATTTCCTCAAAATCTCAACCTCTAGTTTTATTTAACGTCTGTGATGTTATAGAAGTTAACAATTAACCTCAAAAATATAAACTGCTGGACCTATTTTTAAACCAAACTCTTGGACACAAATTTAATTAGCAAATGCTTAATTTAACTACTCATACAGATTTGGTAATGATAAGACAGTTAGAACTTTTATTTTCTGTATTGCTGTCGATGTTGTTTGTTAAAAGATTCAGCTGTAATAAAATCATGATATCAGATCTCGAATTTTCATATATAAATGTAACTAACGTATCTCCTTCGTACTCAAATATAGATTCTTCAAAGGATAATCACCAGCCACTTCTTCTTCAACTTCAACAAAACAATTTACTAACAAAGCGCTTTGTAGCGTTCATCTGGCACAATTTCTTCCTCCTCCATATGGTGGTGGTCTTGAAAATATGGTTTGTGAACCTGTTTGGAACTCTTTCCTGCTGCTTGCAAGTATTCTTAAACATTGCACAATATACATTTGGATTTACAACACTATTAGCATCAAGTGTTATCAACACATCATCCCGTTGTTTTAACCAATGACCTGCTAGTATTCCAAGTTATCACCAGAAGAAGTCCCTAATGCAAAGTCATTAACAATAAGATTGCAAATGATTCAAAATTTAACACTAACAGTGCAATAAAGTTGAATGACATCAATCTTAGTTTTCAGGATTCAGTACTCACAGAGTAAAGATAATGTTGTCACTTGTCGCCATTGTATTGCCAACTGAGTGTAACAACAAGAAAACACAAAAGTTTGAACATTTCATGCTTTAAAAACGATGAGGTTGATGTACTCCCATCCTCCCAATTATTTTGCATCATTTGACTAGACATTGAGTTTAAGAAATAAAAGGAGGACTTACAGTAGAAGAACATCTCATTTAGGACAAAATTAGAAGGTAAATATTAGGAGTTTCTAGATAACGAAAGGTGGTCGGTCTTTTTCAGGACAGAAAAAGAAGAAGATAAAGTGCCAAGCAATATTGAACATCATGTAGCAGCTTATAATGCAATTATAGTGACTTCCAACTAAATTTCTGATTACAGTACTCTCAGAGTAAAGACAATGTGATCACCATTGTGTTATCAACCATTCACACAAGTGGATGGGTAGGAATGGGGTTCTCCCGCGAAGGAATGATGATCAATTCTAGCTGTATGGATGGATGGGTGACTCCTGCAGGTCATGGAAAAATCAAACAGTACTATGTTGAGGGCATCACTCCCTCGAAAATCATACCAGATAAAGGAGAGTTGCCATTGACAACTGTTCCACCTCTCATCTATCTTCAAGGTGCCAGTGCCACAGTTTACTTGGCCTTCTAGTTGAAGTATCCAACTCCTCTCAAAACTCAACCAATGTTACTAGCCTTCTCCACCAAATATCCTCAGCACCACCATCTAACCGCTCGCGAGGATAAAACAACCATAAAATTTGACTTCTCTTAGGATCTGGTTTTGTCTGTCTGTAAGAATCAAGTTTAAGAACAAGTGCATCAAAATTAACTGTATATCACATGTGCACTAAAGCAATGGCCTTTTTCACAATCAGAAATTTATACATATTAGCTCCATTCTCAGTTGTCTTCATAAAGTTTGTATTTAGATGTTTGTCTACTTTGGTAGAGATGTATTTCTCTTTCTCCTCAGGTTCTCCATTTGCTGTCACTGCTACAACTAATAACTAAATTAGCTCAAAGACCCATGGGGTACTGGGTATATTGGTGGGGTGGGGACTAGATGTGACGCATGGTCTACAGCATTTCTCAAGAGCCCTGGGTGATGCCAGAACATACTGCTGATCTTTTGAGCTGCTGGATGAGGAGAGGGGGAGGGGGGGAGCAAGACACAAAAAAGATGGTGGTCTATGGTACCTGCTTGTGTCTGCTGGGCTATTTGGAGAGAAAGAAATCTTAGGTATCATGACAATATTACTAACACTTGCAGAAAGTTAAAGAAAATTGCATTAACATGTTGGTTTTTTGGTGTAAAGAATAGGTATAGAAGTAGCAGAACAGTTGGTAGATTTCCTAGGATCAATGTAATTATGGTTTTAGCTAGTAACCTTTTGGAGGTGGCCAGCATACCCTTAATGCTGAAGAATACAACTTTAACGTTATAAAAAAAAATTAAGGTGGGGACTATTCTTGCCCTTCGAAGCCATTGTCGCAAGATACTTCAGGACCCAATCATTATGGTACTACTTTCATGTATCTGCTCAATTCATACTAGGACTTGCCGGAGTGGTTCTTGGAATTCATGTCAACAACAAGCTGCAGCCCGATATTCCAGGACACCAAGGCATAGGCATTCTTATTCTTGTGCTTGGCATTCTTCAGGTTTGTCCCTAATCTCATTCAGCAAAAATGATACTGAAAACTTGATCGATCATATGCTAAAACTATGTTTTAGTTGCTGGAACACTAATCATGGAGAACGAATATAGTAGAAAAGATTGGCAAACATGTCCATTCTATTCCTTTTTAATATTTGTGTCAATGAATCGATGTCTGTTATGTCACATATTTTAGGATCATAGAAAATGCTCTAACATTTGCTTTACTTTTACAATCACGTGTAGGTTTTGGTATTCTTTGTAAGACCAGATAAAGACAGCAAGTATCGCAACTGCTGGAATGATTATCACAGTTGGATGGGGAGGACGGCTCTCTTCTTTGGAGCTTTGAACATCGTATTGGGGATGCATTATGCAGGCGCAGGGCAAGGATGGAAATTAAGTTATGGATTTTTTCTCGCTTCAACAATGTTGGCATGCATCATCCTGGAAACATTGCTAAGGCAATAGAAGTGGGATGAACCAACTCTTCCTTCAAACTACGCCATGAATACAATCTAGCAAAGTACTAAAAACTTTGATTGTTATAGGTAGGCTGGGTTTACAAGTACAGTCCCCCCCTCCCCCCAAAAAAGCATTTCATTCACCACTAGGAGTGCTTTACCATAGCTGTACAGAATTCTGCCCAAATTATACTTTTGTGGGTGAATTTGGTTTCAGCAGGCTCAGTACTCTTTAAGGGTCAAGCCTCCTTGAAACAAACTCAACACCTTCGCTGGTGCTCTTCAAAATTTCTCCTCTGAAGGAAAAATTGATAACAATTTACATGTATCGACAACTTTTACCTAGCAAACATTTGTTTATGGAGATCACCAGTATAGCAGTGTGACATTGAATCAGCGTGTATTTTACCCTTTACTCATCATAGCTGTTGTTAGACACCTAATAGTCTTACAATGTATCCTACATGATTACTCGGGATAATATCCAGCCAGCATATAGGAGGAATGAACAGGAGTGGTTCTCAGCAATGACATACATTCAGTTTTCAGTACTTTTTAACATCGGAACTCGGAATAATTTTATGTAACTCTATGTTCTACTAAATACTGCAAGTAAATAAGTGTGTCTCTGCAAGCTTTCTTTGTACAGCTTGGAACTTAAATTTGGATCAACATTGCAGTTGTTCTTTCTTTATTGGACTGAGAAACGAGATGTTTGTGCATCCCATTAGAAAGTGAAACAAATTCGTGCCGGAATCAGAAAGAACTGCTAATATATATATATATATATATATATATATATATATATATATACAAAAGATACAAAAGAAAAATACATGGTCGATGGCGAAGTCAGCACAGGCAATTTGGTTAAATGGTCACAATAAACTTAATTAAGCACTTTCCAGAACTCCGTCCAAATCAAACCCAAAAATCTCAGAATTCTTTCCAGATCATTTTAGATTGAACTTATAGAAGAATGCATTGCATACAACTCTGCAAGTCCTAAATCAGATGCAGATATACTTTGTTGGAGCAGTTGAAGAATAATTTGGTTATGTATACAAGTCAGTGAAACCAATAATCACTAGCAACTGAGAAACAAGACGACAATTTAATTCTATATTGCAGTATGCTCCTAAAAAGACAATGTTATAGCCAAACTGTAAAGCTTACACAGAAAAGACAACTCCTTAGCATCAAAAAGTATGTTGAGAAGTAAACCTGCATGTCAATAAAAAACAATACATAATCAGAAATCATGCATTGTAGCTACATGGACTAAATCAATATCAGATGTGATCAAAGAGTTGAAAACATAGCATCATAACAGTATGCAGTTTCAATCGTTTCTAGAAGTCATTCTATAGAAGCATATGGGATTGCAATTGTTTGCTACATGAGGCTACAACTTGCTTCGCTAACTGATATGACACCCACTGAATCTTTTAGAATTTTCACTGTATCTCAAAAGGTAAATTATTCCATTAGTTTTATCTCAACGGTAGTTTGGTCAAGAAGAAGCTAGATGTATCTCTACTTTCCCAGAAGGTAAATGAACGACTAAGCAAAGGATGATCTTTTCACCCTATTGGCAGCAGAAAATGTCCTTGGTGAGGAGAGTATCTCTTGAAGAGAACTAACCTTCAAGTTAAACTGAGGCATAGTCTGAAAGCCAACTAACATCATAGTCATGAGAATTGGAACAGCAATAAAGTCCAGCAGTCATGATATACGACCAACAGATATGTATACTCAGCTTCAATAGACCATTCTGCTAGTATTATCTCGTAAAAGACATAGAAACAGCCTCAAGTAGCAGTCGTTATGCCATGTTCATGTGGATCAAAGCTGGTAGAGCTGGGAACCTCAGTCTCCCTTATTACCCTGCTATATACAGCTTTGAAGGGCTGAGAAGAATATGGTCTCTTGAGCAAACTTATAGGCATTCTTAGAGTTTGTTTGCGATTCCTCCGGCCCCGTACCAAAATGTTGAAGGTCTTCTCATTATCCGTCTCCGTAAGATTTCTTTGCACATGATTTGATCCACTGCCCTCTTTTGATTGATCACTAGACGAGGTAACAAAATGTGAATCTGGAGTGTTGCTTGCTCTCTCTTTTTCTGGTACAACTGCAGCTATGTTCTCCACTGTTTCTGATGCTGGAAGATTTACATCTTCCTTGACTTCATCCCCGGTGTTGAGATCAACTAGTAAGCTTGTTGTCAAAGTAATATTTTCAGGATTATCAGATATCTCCTTAGCAGAGGAAATTGAGTCAGTTATAGGCTCAATCACAGGTGGTGAGATAGAAAACTCGACTGGGTGGCAGCCAGGCCAAACTGTGGCAGGAACATACTCTGATGCATTAGGAGCTATATTGCATTGCCAAGCATAATGATTCGGATGGAAAGTGCTGCTACTCATGGGGAATGTATTTGGAGGTAACGTCTGGGGTTGAGAATACGGAGGGTAGATAAAGCGCAATGGGTGCATCATGTTTGGGGTGTGTGGAGGTGAAGGGTACAGGTGATGAGGGGAGGAGCACATTGGACTAGGCAAGATGGTCGGTGGTCCTTGATGAAGAGACATGGTCACTGACCAAGGACCAATCGGTGGTCGTGTTCCAGGAGGAGAAGGGAGATTAATGTTCATAGGTAATGGGGTACCGCGGGGAACAGCTGGGGAAGGGCTGAATGGTGCTGCTGATGCAGATAGCTTTCTGGACAATTCTCGACTGGCATCACTTGCATGAGATGACGCAGATTTTACCTTCAGATGATCCATATCTTGCAAGGTCATATTTGAGATAACGCCAGGATTTAAATTGCTTGATGAGTCCTTTTCACAGGGATCCGCTTTGGGAGAATTGTCAGAAGTAGGGACATTATGAGTCTTGACACTACCCTGTTCCATTGGACTAACATCAACATGGCCGGGTTGAATAGATGCATTTGCAGATATCAGATCTGAAATTTCACCACCTTTGAGATCACTCATTTGAATTTCTTCTTTACTGTCAGTATCTACTGTTTCACTTTTTACATGATCAGAAGAATTTGCAACTAGATCCTGAATGTTCTCTTTCTCCATGGATTCTGCATCTCTTCCCATTATTTTGGAATTTTCTTCTGCTCCATTGCTCTCCTTTTCAAGTTTCATAACGTCTGGGTTATCAGGAATTTCATCTTCAGAAACTCTCTCCTGCAACATAGAAATGGTACCTGGCGGGGCAAGTGCTACTTCCTTATAGGAAGGAGATTTTCCTAGGTTTACTATTGAACTTCTCTTTGATAGTGATCCAACCTCCTTTGTTGCAGAAACTTGGACCTGCTCTGATGAAGTATTTAACAAATCTCCTCCAGTTGTGGAGATCTCAGGAACAGCATCTCTGACAGAAGATGACACAGACTTCACACGGTAGGCTACAGCTTTTATGACTCTTCGACCAAGTTTGGTACCAGAAGCCTGACTTTTTGCTAAGTAATAATCTGCATAGCTTCCTGGTGATGTCCGTTTCTTTAAGACATAATATTTACTAGCTTGATAGTTATTCTTCAATTTAGCATGATCAACATCAGAAATTGGGTCCTTTTTCTGGTAACCAATAACCTTGCTGATGGTTTGACGCCTCTGCCTTCGTCTTCGTCCATAGAAACCACCTGACCTTGGTCTCTGCACTGGCTGCCATCCATCTTCTGCTTCAGCAGAAGGTTCAGATAAGACTTCACGGACCATAGACTTCTCAATTGAAGTTTCCTTTAACAATGGTCCAGATTGGATGGGTTTGTTCTCAGTAATTCCTCCATCTCCATTGTGATGGGATTCAATTACAGTGTCAACAGGTTCCATATTCATCTTGGGATCAGTGTGATCTTCGACAATTTGTTTCTTTTCATCTGTCTCTTCTTTTGGAACATCTTTAAAAGTGTCAGAGTTTGGTATGGCAACATTGTTTTGATCAGATTTTCCCTTCACCTGAGAAATAAGAGCCTGAGAAAAGATATGGCAAAAAGGAAAAGGATAAGAAAACGGGAGCATGTCCACTTTTACAATATATGGAGCATTATATGCACATTCCGTGTGGAAGCATGATAGGCAGTTAATCAGGCATATGCAATGTGTGTCAATGCCTACTGAGGGAGGAGAATAGGAAAAACATAAGGCAAACAGACCTTTAGAGAGCCTGAAACATGTCAAAGCTTCTGAACATTACCAGTTTTCTGTTAAACTAGTTCTCACTCATTCTCTCTTCTTCCAGACAGGTATTACACAAGGTAGACCTTCCAGAAAGAACATGATTATTTCTGCTTATTTTATAACAAGTTTGCATAAGATGAAAATCTTCATCCAAGCTAATTTCCATGAACCTAATCATGCTGATACGTATTGGAAAATCATAAGCAAGAAACAAAGATATTGTACTCCAATCACCACGTACCTTTGAGACAAAACCTCTTCTTTTTGATCCAACATCTCTCCCTTTGGCATCTGGACTTGGATTAATGTAGTCGAGCAAATCTGACACACTGCGCAATAAAGTATGTCACCACAAGATTTAAACTGAAATATTTTACTTACTGTTATCTAGAGTATGGTTATCTGCTTGTACATTTTTTTGAAATCCTATGTGCAAAAAATTTATGCAATTACTAAGTCAGGAACCCAAAATTTTTACATTGACAGCCATTGAACATTGTCCTTTCTTGATAAATTCATATTCTAAAACTAGCGGTGTCAAATGGTTGGGTTGGGATGGGTTGAAATTGAAAATATTAAAATGGGTTGAAATAAAAAAACGGGTTGGGTCTTGATCCGCCCAAGTTTAATTTGGGCTCAAATGGGTTGGGTTCAAATGAGCTAAAAACGGGTTGGGTCTTGACCTGCCCAATTTAACCTGATTAATCTCAATAATTTAACATATTGATATTTAACTTTTATAATCACGATTTGAATTTCCGCTCAAGAATTTTTGTTGAAAAAAGTAACAAATGGATAGATAAATCCTAAAAGACATTAAATTGAAAATAATTCATACCTTTAGTATAGGAACATATCTTAATAAAAAGTTTTAAAACGGGTTGAAATTGGAGATTGAATTAGGTTCAATTGAAAATTCTCCTCAAATGGATTAAGCATGAACGGATTGAGATTAAACTCAATTCAAATTATCTTGAGCCCAACACTTGAAATTCTAGGCGGATTATCCATGTTTGGGTTCATTTTTGTCAGCACTACTTTTGAGCATAAATCAAAGAGACTAGACATGAAGGCATAGTGAACTATCTTGTAGTTTAAAAGCAAAAGGACGAGACAGTGGGCAAAAGAAATATCAAACATATGCTCTCACAGATTATGACGATTCAAGTCCTTCAGTTATTACATTACCTAGCAGTCTAATAAGAGCTATAACAGAAATTAAGGTTGTCTTTTCACTCATTAAGTCTACCAAAAAAAATTAATTTAAGCAATACATGCAAATATACCTCAAATGACCCTTGCTGGCTATTGATGCATCAGGCTTCTTAGTTCCATTTCGAGCAGCTTCTTGCTGTTCAAAAGCCTTCGACTCAAAATACTCAAGCCATGCAGCAGCATCCTTCAGCAAAGATTAGAAATTTAAAAATTATGAAAATAGATGACTGAAGTAAGAACAAAACAACCATAATTTTTTTTTAAAAAAAAAGTATATTGTATTTCAACTTTCAACGGTGTCATCACCTAGACGTGACCAAAATAGAGGTGACATGAAATTTAAAGACAACCTAATTGGTTAGAAACATCTGAAGTTGTACTTCTAGTAGTTCACTGGTTTCTATGATATGAGGTATTATAACTTCACAAGGAAAAAAAAATTGAAGTGCCAGCAACTGCAAGTTGTTCGCCCATCTTTTCTCTGAAGCAAAAGAGAGGGCCTACTTATTGTGTACATGTGTGTAAGACAGAAGTTAACCTGTGTGCGAAGATCATCTGGACCAAGCTTTGCTCGAAGTATCTGCAAGGTTGTTTGCTCATGCTGAACGCTCAAAGGATAAGCTTCCATCAAAGAGAGGGCAATTGCTATAGCATGATAACTTGCAGCTGTCTGGAAATTACAGAGGCACAAAAGGTAACTAGATAAGAGAGAGGTGTAGGCAAGAATCTGTAGAGATAATTAACCAGGTTCATCAGAAATGAAAGGCGTTTTATTATGCAGCAACAAAATAAGACATACTTGTTTCCAAGAATATATAGTGACGGAGTTTGTTTAACAACTGGAAGGTTTCAATCTTCCACATATTCAACCAAGTTCAAAATGCAACACTATGCAAGCTTGAACTAAAGAAGTCAAGCATAGTTTTACTACCTAAACTACCAGAACAAAAACAAGCGCACCATGCTCTGAGTTGAGATAGAGATTACGGAGTTCCAAATAACCCAATCTAAGGCTATTGATACTGAAGATTGTCAATCAAGTCCTTTATTGCAATAAAAATGACTCTCATGGACTGGTGGCCATAAAGATTGGAAAGATTGGACAGCTTCATGATTGACCTATATTTCCTTTTTGCACTTTGGCACCTCAATGTGCCAACTATGAGTACTCACATTGAAGCCAGATTCGAAAGGGACCCTTAAGTACGGTCATTCGTTTAAGATGACACTGAAGTTGCTCGATTAAAATGAAAACATGAGAAGACAAAAAAGTAAATGGAACATTGAATGAACTTTTAGGCCTGCAACTCAATAGTTAGTATGGTCTGGCACATCTCGAGTATCTGAGGTCAATGACAGATGACAGATATCGTTTCACAAAGAAAAGAAAAGGAAACCATACACCTGCACTGATTCTTTTCTTTTTTTTTGACATAGGTAACTGTTCCTGCACAGGTTCTTATTTGTGAACACCTTAGCCCAACAGCCAGGCCATTGCCATCAGAAAAAATAACTTGAATGGTACTACTTCTTTTCCTATAGTCAAATACACATAATGCATATGTAGCAGTTAATGGAAAAAGAATAACGCATACTCAAGTACACTGTTTGACATGAAACTACCCTGAATCTCCTAAACTAGGACATAAGCGGCCATTTTTTTCCTGAATAAATCCACTTTAGTTTCACAAGCCTAGAAAACTAGAGTGAGCTGTGAATGCTAAAATAAAAATTAAACACTTATAAGCTCCAGCAGAAGAAGAAAGGAACCTGAATATGGTCTGGACCGAGTAACTTTTGGTTACACTTCAAAGCTTTATGGAGATATCTGAGAGCAACATGCACATTACCGAGCCCTTCCTCCATCATAGCCACATTTATATATGTCGCCGCAGTATTTGGATGGGAGGGGCCACATGTGAGATGCAACAAATAAAGAGCTCGTTTTACATACCTGTAAAAATGGGAATGGTAAATTGATATGGAGTGTGAAATGTGAATAACAACAGGGAGAAGTGGAAAGAAGAATCAAAAACAGATATTAAATCATTCATATTTAATGTTAAACGTGAGGAGCAGATATGAGTGGTACAATCTTTCATAATTAGGAGGACATAAGTTTCCACCATGTTGATTTGGTATTTTTTACAAGGACCATGTTGATTTGGTATTTTTTACAAGGACCATGTTGATTTGGTATTTTTTACAAGGACCATGTTGATTTGGTATTTTTTACAAGGACCATGTTGGTTTGGTGCTAGTAAGCCCAAAAGCTGCGTAAATAATCAAACCCCATATGCGAACTTTATTATTTGAACCGTCATTCAAGAACATATCCACGACCAAATTTCAACCAATCATATGTATTTCACAAGCTTGATTAAGTTAGTTTTGACTGATATAAAGTACAGTAGTATTTTCTTTACACTAGCTTGAATTGTTGAAGGAGAGTAACTTGCCATCTTAGCAAAGATGACAAGTTTATTGAGACAGGCCGAGGAAAACAATGCCTACTTTATAGTCCTATTGGATGGGGGAGCAACTAAAGAAACATACATGACCATTGAAAATACGAAAACCAGAAACTCAAGAAATATAAAAATGTCTAGTTTAGAATAATGAACCTCCAACTCCACTTTTGTAATTTGTTCTTTTTTTTCTTTTTCTTTTTTTTTTTTTGCTAATTTAGTTGTTGGCATCATCAAGAAATTTTAAGTACTTGGCAATCCAACAGAAATAAACATACTTGAGAGCCAACTCTGTGTGTTGAAGTCGGTAATAGAAAACTGCAAGATCACCATAACTTTTCATAGTGTCTGGGTGATCAAGGCCCAACTCTCTTTCATTTATGTCCAAGGCCTTTTGCTGATAGATTGTGGCCTGTCATGGATACCGCCATCAACACATTTAAGAGTTGAATAGGATAGAAGTCAGAGTTTTTAAAGCAGGCAGAAAGAGTAACAATGTAGGACCAAGGAGGTCTATGCTGACGAGCTTCTGAAGCATACCTGATTAAAATCACCGGTGTGATACAGAACAACAGCAAGAAGGCTATAAGCTCCAGCTGTCATTCGATGGTATGGACCACATACTGCGACCAGCTTGGCAAGAGCCTGAAAGCACCACAAAAATGCAGCAGTTGTCACATGGTATGCAATAATTTATACCATTCAAAACCAAGGTTACCTTATTTTATTATTCTAATTCCAATATTTTCAATCTGTACCCAAGACCAACAAAGGGAAGAAATATAAGAAGCGATGGAGTTGGAAGCCCACCAAAATAACTTGGTTTCTATACAATAGAAAGTTTCAATCGGAAGAATGGAGAATGTAATGTACAACTTTTTTCTAATCTCGGAAATCAATTACCTTAGTCCCATAGCTGACCGCATCTTCAAGTTTTCCCTTATCCAGAGCTGTTTTGGATGATTCCAAAAGCTGTCTTCCGTCTGCAGAAGAGCAAGCAGCTTGCTGCAGAAAAGCAGACACAAAGACACGAAGGGAGTAGAAGAAAAATGATAAGTACAAACAGAAGTGAACTCGGCATAATATCTCCTAGTATCAGACACGTAGACAGGGTTGCATTATCACCTTATGCACTGGTACTAGGCTGACAATGTCTACTTTCTGAAAAGGACTTGCTGAACTCATATCATAATCTCTTGGAACCAGTTCAATTCCCACCTAGACAGAAAAATTACTCGTAAGTGTTCTTGGGTATAGAACGAAAACTTCAATAACGTTCATTTCCATCACCAAAGTATTCAAAGACATCTGCACAAAGGTTATATCTTTGCCCAAGTTAAATATTTGATGAATTGACACACCAACAAGTGTCTCTATGTCTTAGCAAACAATTTTCTTCAATTTCTTTTCATATTTTCTTATGTGTTTTATTTCCCCTTCCAAAGACAGCGAATTCCAAGTGTTCAATACATTCTCAGAAGAACGGTCAAAAATAGCCAGGTGTGAAACCTACCAAATCTATTCAAATGCAACCACCCAAAGACAAATGTTTGATGTATTATGTATCAACAACAACAAAATACCCAGTGCAGTCCCACACTGAGGTCATCCTTAAAAAGTCAATTGTTTAGAACAAGATTTCAAGTACCTTATGGCATAAACCACGGAGGATAGCAAATTTCCTCATATCTTTGTAGTTCAGGCTGCCAACATCCCATTCGTATCTCTTCTTCAAAAATAATTTCAGCCATCTCCAGATCAAAGAATCAACACCGTACTCATTTGAATCATCATTTTCAGGTACCCCAAGCATCATATTCAAGGCAGCAGCAATTATCGCAGCTATATCTTCAATGTCAACAACTGATGCAATAGCTGCTTGAAGAATATGTTTAAAAGCTCGGACTATCATCTCGTGTATACAAAGAGATTGCACATGTGATAACTTCTCAGAAAGTTTAACCTACACAAGAAGAAGAAGAAAACGCAAGAATCAATTTAGGCACAGCTTAATGAGATAAAAGTTGGCCTAGTATAATTTTACAGTTGCACATAAGAGTTAATCATGATCTAAAACCAGATCAATGTAGAGGCAATAGGAAAGAGATAAAGAATGAGAAATTCAACTTTCAGATCATTCTCAAACCTTCGACAGTTCTGACAAAGTTCAACATCTATATTTGATAATCTCGGTTAAATTAATATACTAAAGTAAAAATATTATGACCTGGAGATTAAACATACTAACAAGAAGACACAAATTGAAGTCTAAGTGGACAAATATATGTGTCACACACACACATACAGAAGGAGAAAATCACTAAGGGTAAAAAATGATCATTAAGACTTACTACTTGTCCAAGAGAACGCATACGTAGACCTCGGGTATGCATGAAATCAGTTAAGGTTCGACCATCTACTGGTGAGAGTTCTAAAGAGCCAAAATCAGCCACCTACAATGCATTGTGAAATGAAACACAGCTAAGATGCCACTTGTCACAAACAATTTTCTTTGTAGATTTATATATAAACAATACTATTTTAAGTGTTACCAGCTTTGGCAGGGCAACTTCATTATAGTACTTCTGTGACAGATCAATCAGCTCTTCCAAAGACTATCAACAGCCGGAAGTGGTTAGAAGATGGAAAAATAGTAAGGTCTTCTCATAATCTATCACTTAAATTTAAAAAGATTTCTACCTTAAGGTGAAGTCCAGTCTCTGACTCCTTCAACCTTGTAAAGCCAGCATCAGACAACAATGCCTTGAGGACGACCTGATTTTGATCTGTATCTGTCTCAAACTGAGACTCCCCAGACTGCAGGACAGGTTTTTCTGATCCCCCTCCAACACCATCTGCGGCAGATTTGAAGCTTTCTGACTGGGATTCCATGTTAGTTCCATCTGTGCTCTTCTTTCTGTTCTTAAGGGACTTAAGAGGTATTCCAAGTCCCTCAACCTTCATCTCATTTTTTTTCTTCTCAGCGGAGGGTTTCTTGTCCTTTTCTGATTTTTTCTGATCTTGTAAGTGCTGTATCCAGCATGCACCAAGTTCCCATCTGATGAAAGAGTCACCTTCTATTTTCTCTTCTTCAAGTTTGGTAAGACTCTCTTCTAGTATTCTCCTTACAAATGCCTGAGAGCAATTAGGCTCTTCAGTTTCTGAAGGTTTTGAATGCATTACCTTGTTGTCCACTTTCTTGTGAAGGAGCAAGCGTAAACTGCAAGATTACGTGATAAAATAAGAAAAATAGGCACTAAGTCTTGAGAAGACGAATGCACCATCCTAGCAAATTGATAATGAAATACAGGACCAGTGATATGGTGAATATGACACCAAAATGACAAACTATTAACAGGAGATAATAAATTAGGTAAGAAATGGCCCTTGGCCTAGCTCAACCACAAAAGCTAGAACACGAGGAAAGAATTGTGCAAATCCATATAAAGAAACCACCAGTTCATTCCGGAACTAAAGTAGAACTCTAACCCACTCAAACACCCCTACACGCCCAGACCTCCAACTGGAACAGGATTGGGGCCCAAACAGGGTGAGACCCAGCTCTGATTCATGACAGTTAAGCAACCTAATAGTAGTACATTGGGAGATGTAACACACAATTATCCATATTTTTACACATCATGTATGATTGTTGTGCAAGGTCTAGAATTGTGTTAAAGCTATTACATTTTATCATTACCCCAATTGACGCGTAACCTTTCTCTAAAATTCCTCTTTTTGTTTTTACCTTCAGAAGATCTTACAAATATTGTTGTGGTCCATGAGGTTTTGGAGGGATCCTAGACCAAGAAGTATTTGAAAGGGTTATATCATCAGAGCAAAGAAAAAAGCTATCAGAATGCAGTTGTTTTATTGCTCTGTTATTTTGGAAACAGCTCCTACTTAGAGAAGACTTCACTTTTCCAGGATAATTTCTTCCTCCGACAAACTTCTAAAAGTTGAACCAGAATGAGAATCTCAATTTATCAAACCAAAGAACTTTTTTGGTCAAGAGCTCAACATAACTTTGTCTTTACACTTTTAACAGTCAAAAAGAACCAAAGTATTTTATTGTTTGCATAGTGAAACCACAACAGAAAGAGATCAATAAATTACTACTATTACTTATTGTTTGCATCATAAACCGCAGCAGAAAAAAAATCAATAAACTACTATTATGACTTATTGGCTTATAATGAGGATTTTCAAGTAATACCTGTTGATATTGAGGGCATTTGCACCACCATCAGGCTGATCAGCAAGTTCCATGCTTTGCAGTGGGCTGCCCACTTTGTCATTTTCTTTTCCTTGAACTTTTACAGTTGCAATATAACCACAATGTCTTACATTCAGAACACCTAAAGTAGCAATATCCTGAATTCAAAATGCAGTAAGTTTTTTTCCAATCAGATGCACTACATTAGAAGTACCACAGAAAATTAGGACCCATATAATTTCTCTTAGTATTTTCTTACATGGGCAGCAGTATTTTCATCAGCAGTTATCCCCTTCAGTAAATTTCTTTCCATCAGATTCTTCATAGCTATTCCAGTTGCTTGAAATCCATCAATTTTGGTATCTACTTTGCAGCTAGCATTTGAAGAATCTTTGGTAACAAATATGCTCAAGTCCCCAACTGTCTCATTATAAATGATTTCTCCATTCAAATCACAATGAGCTGGTTTAACTTTCTCCATGACATGCTTTACAGCTGAAATGGCTCGTAAAATGGCGACATCAACAAATAAACTATGAAGAATAAAAGCCTTCCTGTCTCTGATCTGCCTCTCCTCTGTTGTCTTACAAGCCATGGATGCAACATTCAAAAATTCATTGGCAAAAGGTAAAGAATCAAATTTTCCATCTCGGCCTAGACCACCTCCATTTGCTCCCCAGGTATCATCCTCCACAGGTAGAGGTGGAAAAATAGCTGGCAACTGTGCTGCCACAGGTGGTATAAGCCATGTGTTGGCTCTGAATCCGTATGGAAGATTCCCAAACTGTATTAAGAAGAAAAACAGTTTACAACCTTGGGTTAGAGAAGGTTATGCAGCGAAGAAAGAACTTCCCGCGTGTAATCAGTTTTAGAAAACTTAAGGTGATGAAACATGTCAAGAGAAATCATCATCTGCACCTTATTACGCTCCAAGAATGCTTTCATGAGATCATCGTATGCCTGAAAATTGGGATGAGCAATGTCAACAATGAAATAAGACATGAAACTAGCATGACTGAATTGATAGAGAAAAAAAATCTGCCCAAGCGTACATTGTCAAATGCTCTACTGAGTTGTCTCAACAAATCAACAAGATTGTGACAAAGAATCCCCTGCTTTCCAAAGTTGTAAAATCCTTTCTTGCAAGCTTCAACAATAACCAGCTTTCCATTACAAAGTTTCACCTATAAACAATTACATATGTTATTTTATGAATTAATCAAACCTAGAAAATATCAGATCATTGAACTCATTAGACTAAAGAAGATGAAATTGGCTCCAAGAAAGCTTACTTCAAGAGAGAAAAGATGATCATCTGGCAAAACTTCATCATCTTGTTGTCTTGTTGCTCTTCTTATGACTGCAAGAATCAAGATGAGTCTTAATTTTAACAAGAAACACGAGAAGAGAGACACAATGTGAGAGAGAGAGGGCGCATTACACTGAAGAGGAGGCGTGAGATGAGAAAGCGAGAAGAACTCATAGAAGCTTCCAATCTTAGGGCAAGTATTGCTCATCTCTCCATCAACTTCTTCCGATCCCGCATCTTTACCCAGCTGTTGCGCCACCGGAGTTGGCGTTTGTGGCGGCGACGATGACTTATCATTCCCACGAACCTTGTTGGATTTCTTAGCATTCTTGTTATCCTGCACACCTCGCGCATTCTTGCAAGAGTCAGTTTTCAACTCTTTACCACTAGTCCCCGACGGCCCAAAACTCGTTGTACAAGCGACGATGTCCAACAGCCTTCTAACATGCGCCGTTGCGCTTTCTTCATCGTATTCCTCTGTTCAAAGAAGAAAGTTGAGGGTATAATCGGGCTTTTATAATATCTAGACCTGACCGGCCCGGGACCACTTCCTAAAATAGAAATATCCTAATACCCTATACGACGACGTCTTGTAGTTCCGAAATTTTTTTACCTTCGATAAGAGTCAGGATGCAGGGCTTCAGTGCGGAAACGTCCACTGTTTCTTTTAAACGTGGACCCCTTAACTGTTAAAAACAGTAAAAATCAGATGGTCCTAAATTAAACAAATAAGTTAAAGAAAATATGACAGCCGTCTGATTTGTCCCCTTACCTCATGAGACAGTGAGAAATTAGTGACATTACAAGTTGTTGTATTGACAGATAATAATCGACGAACATCGATAATTCTATCCGTAGATATTCCCTGCTCGTAGAAAAACAAAGCCGTTAAATGATTTAATTAAATTCAAGGATATTTTAAAATCAAAATAGCAGTTATAATAATAATACTATTAATAATAATGGTGTAGCAATAATTTTTTCTAGAAAAAGTAAAATTTTATAATAAAATAAAAGTTGACTATATTTTATATATTTAAGTTATGTTACCTTCACTAAAATATTTTATTGTTATCAATTATTTAACACTATTTTGTTGCGTGTACGTTTTAATGACAGATATATATCTTTTATTTCTACAACTTCTCTTAACTTTATTTATCAATCATATGACCTTTGTTTCTATGACTTGTACTAACTTCGTTTATTGACCATTCAATTTTGTGAACTAATTGATATCAAAATTGTTGTGCTTGCGCAAGTAACCGGTGAAATATTGAATGGTTAACCAACTGTTTGAAAAATTAGCTCTAGCGCCTCATTTTTCTTCTTTTGGAATATAATTAGAAAGCCAAGCTGTCAGAGCTGAATCTGATTTCCTTGAAAAAAGCAACAAAACATCAACCAAAATCTAACAAAAAAGTACTCGAATAAAATAAAGAAGTTTAAACAAAGAAAGACGATTAAATATACTTCGTGTTATAACTATATATTTATAAGCAATATTAATTTTAAAAAAGTGTGTTCGTAAATGACGAACCTTTAAAATAACTTGAGTCTCCTCCGGAAGGTTTATCGTTATATCCATTACAACTGGGAGAACTGAGCAGCACAAATAAAACATATCATCATTAGTATAACAAATAAAATTTTATATATATACTGACATTTAATTTTTAACATATGCTAAAAATGTATCGTATAATACTAACAGAAAAAAGAAAAAAAAGTAATAATACCCTTCTCTTCTTTCTTCTTCTTGTCTCCCTTTGTTTTGCCACGACCATTCTTGTTGGGTGCCATTTGTTAAACTCAAACTTTCAAATTCTTTTATATATACTACACCTATAGACAAAAATTTCACATGAGACAATTATAGTAAACAATAGGGGCGAGACCGCAAGAGATTATGAATTCGACCAAATTTAATATTTACAGAACTCAATAACTTTAGGAAATGGAATAATTAAATTTTAAAATCGTGGCTCCGCTTCTGCGATACTTTTGCTCCGTTCTTAAATCCAATTGAAATATGTAATTTTTATAAGTATAAGCAAAAACAGAGTATTGGTATAAATTAGGCATGTTGTTGAGAATAATTTACCTGATATATAGGAAAATTGAAGTTTGGACAAGTGCGCTCGCTGCTTAAACGAATAAGGGGTAATTAACGCTTCATTGAATAACAAGTATGACAAGGAAGTAAGCACGTAGACACCTGAGGCTATAAATGTGATTGTATAAAATATGAAGTAGTGTATATGATAAGACTGGGAATTTATTTTTAATAAAGAGTGGGGGGGTCGAAGGTCTAAAATAGATAAGGAAGAAATGAGTAAAGAGTTTTGAAAATTGGAAAATAGAAAGAAAGTAGAAGAAGAAGAAGGGGAGCTAATTGTGTGGGGAGGATATAGAGAGAGATGAGAGTGTGTGATAAGGAATGAAGGGCTGAGATTTAACATTCAGAATTATAATGACATATTATGGCAGTTTCTATAGATTTTATTGAACTAAAAAAATAAAAATTAATGTAAAATACGAGCCGCAGTGATTCTTTCATTCAACTTGCTAGCAGCGGCAATATTTTGATTTTTGAGACACAGAGGAGAAAAAGGTTGGACCACACAATGACTACTAGATACTAGTAATATATATAAAAGTTATACCTAAAATGGAATATAATAGTTATTAGGTTAGTTGATAACTCATGAAAATATAATAGTTTACTTTCTTTTAGTTTTAATTATGCATAAATATCGAACAAAAAATATGAATATAAGTACTATGTTAGACTAATATAAATATAAGGATACGCTTGAGATTTTATAACATTAAAACCTAAAAAACTAACAATAGTATGACGTAGGGTTTGCAACGATGACAACAAAGGTTAGATAACTATTAGAGTAGTGAAAAGTGAATATTTGATATACTTTTACTATACTAAGTAGAATTTTCGCACTCAATGAGTAATTTGATTTCTCTCTTCTTTATTCTACATCAAATGACAAGTCATATATTTGTTTTAAGAGCATTTTCTTATCGGTTAAAATAAAAATCGAACTGTGTGAACTTTTACTTTTATCAACAACAGTTTAATTTTCCATCATGCAATTTCATTTCCCTAATTTTCAAAAAAAAAATAAAAAATAAGCGTATTGTATTGTTCCATGATAAATATGAACAGTCACTATTAGTATTCGATACGTTGCTTCTCAAACAGTCTATTCGAAATGGAATATAAATGGATTTGGGATAGAATAGAGAAGAAACAAGTAGTGCTATATATATTTAATTTATTTAATTTCCCATTATTTATAATTCGTATTGAAGTTTCGACAAAACTTGAATCATACACTACTTAGCTTATTTAAGAACTTTTTTTTCCATACTCAACATTCAAACTCAAAATTTTTATTAAGGATGAAATAGTCATTGTTACACTACAACCCCGGTTGATAAGTTGTGCCATATATACATATTGGTTTATTAGGAGAAGATAAACTTGTGAATGAAACAAAGTTTAACGTGTATAGTATGCCCAGCTTCTAGATTTATTCGTGTTTAATATTTTGCGTAATTAGTGCAAAAATGTTGTATTTAATATTTTTGAAAAAAAAAATGTATGATGGATAACATAACACGCACCACCCGTTTGGATTTACTAGCTCATATAATTCATCCAAATTTGCCAGTTAGTGCAAATGTTTGTCAACGTTGAAAGCTTAATATATACTAGTGAGAATTTCACACAAAAGACAAAATTAACCTGTCATTTCCCTATAATATTATGGTTACCATATTTTATAAATGTGCTATTAATTATTTTAGGAATACAAAATAGAGTATCTAAAGTACAAATGCAGTTATATAATAATTAATTAATGTGGAGATGGAAATGAGAATTAGTGCACAAGTCATATTCGTAAGAAGAGATTTCAAGTATTTTGAATTTGTTATAAATACATTGAATTAAGTGGATAGTCCATAAGGTTGGTACATGAACAACCATTCATATTACTAGGTGACATGAACCTTTTTGGATAAGAATGTATCTATTTATTATGATACTTAATATGGTAACCTTTGGAGTGATTTCTCACTCTATAAATAGGGTTGTTCATTCACTATTGTAATAGATACATATGAGATTTGCATACACTTGAATAAGAAGAAAGTCTTATCTTCCATCTTACTCCTCTTGTCTTCATCTATTTATATTTATATTGCCATGAGCTTGATTTTATAACACGTTATCAGCACGAGTCTCTAGCCAATTAAGATTGAGTTTTACTTTTTCTTTAACTCATGTTTTGGTTGATCTCGTTATGAAGATCAAAGTATTATATGCGTAAAATCAGGTATGTATTTTCTAGAATATTTTTATGATTTAGAATAAAATAGTATTCAGTCACTAACAATTATCAAGAACCGAAGACATATACTACTATTGGTTGAATATGACATGCTATACAAAATTTCTTAAATAGAAGAAGGTATAAAATTTTAATAGTATGAATTTGAATGTTATTTTGATTGTTTTGAAAGACTCAAAGGATGAGTCATGTTGTACTTCGGTTTATTATACCGTTGGTTAAGGGTAAGACGATGGATTCAAGTTTCATCGCACCAAAAAGGTAAGACATCACGTTAAAGTCCGAATGCATCATAATAAAAATATTTGAGGATAAGACGATAGATTCAAGTTCTATAGCACCAAAAGGGTAAGACATCAATTTGAGTTTTGATGCACCGTGATTGGGTTCAAGTCCCATAGAATTATGGCATAACACGCCTTATATGGATAAGACATTGAGTTTGAGTCAATGCACCATAATGATGATATAATGATGACTAGGCTTTGATGAAAAGTCTTGAAATTCGTTCTATTGAATTTGCTTCATTCCTTGAAAAGAATGTGGTAGCAACATGTAATAACTCTGAAATACGCGTGTTAACTTGCTCCATTCAATCATATGAATGTGGTAGCAGTGAATGTTAGTCTGAAAGATGACAAATGATTAATGATATGAATAAGGGCGTGGAGGGACATAATTATAATAGTCATCATTGTGGTAATGATAAAAGGAAGAACACTATAAGTTCTTCAAATAGTCCTTCAAAATGTGAAGGCAATTTAAATAAATATGTGAACTTAAAGTTCAAGGGATAATTCAGTTGCATAATGTTGCAAATCAGTTGCCAGAGGAATGCACTGACCCTATGATATAATTCAGCTGCGAATGTTTCAATGTGAAGTCCTCGAAGGACAGAGTCTATGATACGCCGGAAGCGTAATAGACCAATCGATTCCAAATATAGAATTCCTTGAAGAAGGAAGGAGCAAATGATCAATATGGTCATGATAATGAGGCAAGTGCTATAAAAGAGCACATTGACATAACAATTCATAAAATCTTGAAAAAGGTTCACGTACCTGAAATAATGAAAAATGAAGAGATCTCGATAAGTTATGTCTTGTTGGAATTGATATCAAATAACCGTCGACGGTATCTTTGATATGAGGTAGCGCTCAATGATATAAATTGTGATGAGGATCTTGAATTCAAATCTGTCATATAGTGTGAACAGATAAATGGTTGGCCAAGTAAAATGCACAATTCAAGTATATTTTGTTTCACTTAGAAAAGTAACATTTTGGACTGGTAGTCCATAAATCAAGGTATAATGTCAGTGGGGTACAAATAAATTATTATGCGATAGTATAACTGTAAGATATCAAATACGATTTGTGCCTTGGGGCATAAAGGTTTATCGCAAAAATCCTGACATTAGTGGAAATGTTTTCTCCTTTGGTGGATGAAATGAGGTTTGTTTTGATCTGGCAACGTATGAAAACTTGAATGCATATAAATGAATAATTTTAATGTCTAGCTAAACAATGAAGGTTATATGAAAATCCTTGAAACAATCGAGGTGTCTGAAGCATATAAGGGTTTGAAAGAAACTTATCCAATAAAGCTTCAAGAATCCTTATATGGATTGAAATAGTCAAGGAAGAAAAAGGGTACAAAAGAATGACCCTAATTGTCCTTGTATTTTTATGAAAAGGTCTTGGTAAGACAAAATTTTGTCTTGACCTACAGATTGTTAATTTGACAAATAAAATATTTGTCTAACAGACAACAGTGCACATACACTGAAAAATTTTGATGCAATTTTATGTGGATATATCGCATTCATTGAGTACCCCAATGATTATGAGATCACTTGACATAAATGATGATTCAGTTTGATCTCAAAAGAAGGATAAGAGTTTCTTGGTGATGAAACTCTATCTTAGTGCAATCAGGGCACTAGTGCATCTTACTAACAATATTTGACTAGATATTTGTTTTGCAGTAAATTTACTAGCAAGATTCAGTTTCTCCCCGATAAAGGACATTGAAATGGTGTTGAGCACATGATTGAATATCCTCGAAGGACCATAGTTATGGGTTTATTCTATCCCGAGGAATCCAAGACAAAATTGATTGGTTACGCAGATGCAGAATATTTATCTGATCTACATAAAGTTCTATCTCAATCACGCTATGTGTTTGCATGTGGAGGCACAATAATATCTTGAGGATCAATGAAGCAAATGTTGCTATGCAGAAATAAAAGTCCTCCATGAAGCAAGTCGAAAGTGCGTCTGGTTGAGATAAATGACACACCATATTCAAGAAATGTGTGATTTTTCTTTGAAAAAGAATATACCAACCACAATGTACGAAGATTGGAGACATCATCACAGGAAATTAAGTGATGTTTTAATCAGGGGAGTATAATACGCGTTGCACTCTTTTTCCCTTGACCGAGGTTTTTTTGTTTTTTTTTTCCTTTGGGTTTTTCCTGGCAAGGTTTTTAATGAGGTAACAAATGGTGCGTATCAAAAGATATGTGTACTCTTTTTCCTTCACTAGAATTTTTTCCCACAGGGTTTTTTCTATTAAGGTTTTAACGAGGCACATTATCTACGGACATCCAAGGGGGAGTGTTATAAATACATTGAATTAAGTGGATAGTCCATAAGGTTGGTACATGAACAACCATTCATATTACTAGGTGACATGAACCTTTTTGGATAAGGATGTATCTATTTACTATGATACTTAATATGGTAACCTTTGGAGTGATTTCTCACTTTATAAATAGGGTTGTTCATTCACTATTGTAATAGATACATATGAGATTTGCATACACTTGAATAAGAAGAAAGTCTTATCTTCCATCTTACTCCTCTTGTCTTCATCTCTTTATATTTATATTGTCATGAGCTTGATTTTATAACAGAATTGATATTATTTAATATGAATATTTCATATCACGTTTTTTATATCTTCAATGTTTAATTACTATGTATCGCTTTGTTTTGTAT